CTTAGCCGCTTGAGCCGCAGGCGCTGAGCCAGCCCAAGAGTTTGAGGTTGTTGTGAGCTGTGACGCCACAGCACTCTACCCAGGGCGACAGCGTGAGACTCTCTGAAAAAGAAAAAAAATCGCAAATGCTGAAAAAGCTTTGTATGCAAGGCAAGTACATTTGTGACAGCTTTATTTCTGAAAATTAGAAATTATTTCTAGGTCCAACAGTAGAGGAAGAAATAAATTGATTCTTGCATGTGCATTTAAAAGAGTATTAATCCCTATAAATACTATGAAAAATGGGGAAATAATTATGTTTGAAGAAAGTGGAAAAAAGAAGAAAGAAGTATCTATATTGTAACATGAGTTATATAGAAACGCATATTAAGTCATCAGAAATAGACAATGTTACTTTTACTATTGGGTGGTAAAATGTATATGAAAAATATAAACTGTCTGCTTATAATTTACCATTTCTATAGGAGGCAACATAGTTTCATGGTAAAGAACCTAAATTCTGTATTTAGTTGCCTACGTTCAGATCTCAGATCACCTTTTATTAAATGAAACTTGAGACAAATTAACCTCTGTATTCCTCAGTTTTTTCATCTGTAGAAATGGGACAGTAATAAATATTTCATTGTTACTATTTAAAAGCAAAATGTACAGATAACAGGTTCCTTATAAGCACACCAAGTAACCAAGATAAAGGTGCAAATGGCAAACGTGTTGATATTTGTCATGTATAACTTGGATGTTATTAAGTCTTACTGTTATAAATTAAATTTTTATTTTTTGTTTTTGTTTTTTGAGACAGACCCCAGGCTGGAGTGCATTGACATCAGCCTAACTCAACAGCAACTTCAAACTTCTAGGCTGGCTCAAGTGATCTTCCTACCTTAGCCTCCCAAGTAACTGGGACTACAGGCACCCGCTTCAGTCCCCAGCTCATTTTTTCAGTTTTTTGAGTTGAGGTGGCGTCTCTTGTTCAGGCTGGTTTCTAATTCCTGAGCTCAAGGGATCCTACTGCTTCAGCCTCGTGTAGTGCTAGAATTACAGGGGGTGAGCCACC